TTTTTTTTTTTTTTTTTTTTGATACTCTCTCACTATATAGCTCAAGCTAGCCTTGAACTCACTATGCAGCTTCAGACCCCAAACTTGAGAAAATCCTCCTGCCTCAGCCTCCGAAGTGCTAGGATTACAGGCATGCACCACCAAGACTGGCTCTAATGTTCTTTACATAGACTCCTGGTTCTTTAGTGTTTAAATATTTTATTTTTACCATTCTATATTATTTCTAAATTATATACTCAAACAAACTCTTGTTCAAACTACTAAACATATCCCCACAGATTGTGAAACCTAGCCTAACCAAATATTCAAGACTGCCCTGACAAAATATAGACAGGGGAGTGAGAGATGTAGGTCATTTCATTAGCAAACAATGATGTTTTGAGACCACTAAGGACACTCAAGCCTAACCACTGCAGACAAAAATCTAACCATTAAATAAAAAATCCAGGTTGAGGGATTATTCTATGTCGTGTTTGGGCTTATTTGCCTCTATTGTAGTCCACCTCCACCCATGACAGCAGCTAGATTACATGTAGTGCTCCTTTCCGCTTTTGATCTGCAGATTAAAAATCTATGATGAGTCACACACTGTTTTGTCACCATGACCTAAAAGCAGTCCAAGTACTCTTAAAATAGGGTCTGTTTTGCACAACTGAGACAGGAAAAAAAGAAAAGAGCTGGGATCTTACTGCACCAAATGTGAATGGTTGGCCTGAAATATAATGCTCATGTTCATTTTAAAGAAGAACAGTCAAATAGCTTACTAGAATATATAAAGAGCACCACTGCATGAGGAGCCGGAGCTAATTGTGAATCAGAAGTGAGTTCTGTCGGTCTGACGAGCGGCTCACTGACCTCACCTCATCTTACAACTAACTACCAATCAAGGCTTCCTGTTAGCCCTGGGCAGTTTTCAGTAAATTTAATGAAACCGTTATACATGTAAGAAATTGATGCCCAAATCTGAATGAGTGACACTAACTTACTAGTCGTGCGGGTGTGATGTTATCCCCAGCACCAGCTGGACACAATACAGAAACTCATACACACATCTCCCCAAGACCACAGTCATTACCACCGTCCCGCCCCCACCCCCTGTGAGCAGCTCCCTGGCCCTGCTGCGGAGCACAGCACTGGTAGAAATTCCCCCCCAAGTTTTAACCAAAACTTAGCGAAAATTGTTAAAAGCAAAACATTTAACAAAAGTGGAAGACGTCCGTATCTTCCAGTTTCGATTCTCTCAGAACACTCCGTCGCGTCGCTCCAGGAGTTTTGAGTAAACACATCTCGCCTGGCAGCCCCTCACCCCCAGCCTGCCAGCGTCTGCCAGTGAGACCTAGGAGTCTGTCTTACCTGTAATCTGACTCTGTCCTTGTGGATTAAAAGGACTTGGTGCAGAGTTCAGGGAGGGCCGTGGGTTCTGAGGCGGGACACCTACTCTCATACTGGGATGAGGAATGCGCCCTAAATCACTGAGGCGGTCAGAGAACAAACTAGGTTTAGAGTCATCAAGCTTCTGTCTGTGCCCTGGAAACAGCAAATCATAAAATAAAAGCATATTAATTAGCTGAACAAATGACCATGCTAAATAGATACGTGAACACATATACTGGGTGGTTTATGCCAAGGAATTAGCGATACTGATATTTGTAATCATGCGTCTGCAGGACACCTTGCTTTCTGATCTGCTTTTTAAGCATTATCTGGTGGCCAGCCTTCCTAGTTCTGCTCTATAACCAGAGAGCTGAGGGTCCCAAAGGGCCAGCTAGAGTGAGAGCTCAGGAGGAGTTCTGTGGGTGCCTGTCCTACCCTCCCTGTGGATAAAGGGGGCACACATGGGGTGGGGCCTGTCATCCGGCTTCATGATGGAGCCTAGCGTGAGAGCTCAGCACCCACGCGGCTCAGACACACACTCACCGAGCCTGGGCAGAAACTGGGTCACACGCATTTGTCAAAGAGAAATTTCCACAATGACCATCATACTTTTTATTTTTTCCTCTCTCTTCTTTTTTTTTTTTTTTTTTTTTTGGTACCGGGGATCGAACTCGGGTCCTTGTGCTTGCGAGGTAGGCAGTGGAACCACTGAGCTAAATCCCCAGTCCTCCTCTCTTTTTTTAACACTACATGAAGCCCTGGCTGAGACATTGTTCTGAAAAATTAAAACTCAAGACTAAATCCTTTAAAAACAATAACAGAAATATAGCAAGGAAACTCAAATTTCTCAAGTGGAATCTGCACTTTATTTTTTGTGATGTTGCCAAAGCTTGAAAGCATATAATAAACTGTTAAGTCAATAGGTGATTTTTTAAAAAAAATTTTAAATCTACTATGTGGTTTTGTAAAAGAAATTGACAACATGGGTAAATATGAACGTGAGAATCCATTTTTTGATGAGAGAACTTTCTTCTGCCTTATTTAAATCTAAAGCCTAAGGAAATTCTGGATATTAACAAAACATGCAAATTAGGATATACTCAGGTGCTAAGACTTCTTAAAAATCATCAAATCGTTCTTAACAAAGGAGCACAGTATTTCTTGGTCCAAGTATAACAGAAAACATCAGGATGTGGTGGGACATAGTCACATGGAGCTATAAGGCGGAGGCGTGGTGAGCAAGGACAATGTCTGCAACATAAACAGTAATACCCTGCTGCAGAGTCCTTTCCCATTCTGTACCCAGGAGGCCCTCATGTGTTGCCCCAACACTGTAAGTGAAAATATGTAAGGGGGTGAAGCTGAATCAGTGATGAGTCACTGAAATGATGGGTGGATGAGGAATCTGTACCATGAAGAAAAACTGAAGGAATTAGGATTATCACCCATAAAAGAAAAAAAATCTTGAAGGAGAATCATGAAACACCTTAAAGAGTGGGTGTTCTTCAATGGCCCCACAGGTGTTGTGAGCCCTCCGTCTCCCACAGAACACAGGACAAGAAGAGTGTATCAAGACAGGGTTACACTGAACATTACAATTCCTAACTATAAACTGTCCTCATAAGACAAATTCCTTATTTTTTATTTGCCCCCAAATGTATTTTCCTGTCTCCTTTTTCATTGCCTACCCAGCCCAAAGAAAACAGACGGGAAGCCAAGCCTGGGAAATATGAGTGGAGCTGTCTCCCTGTCTCCACGGCGTGCCATGTTCCAACGAGACCCACTAAGGGATAGGCACACATCACCCAGCTCCTGCCAGTACAAGTTCTGGGCATCTGCTGTAACCGAGGGACTAGACCCTGCTGAAGAACTTGGGAACTAGTTTTCCCAAGAAAAATGAGGGAAATAGATTGTTTTCCCCATCATCTATGATGTTTTCAATGCAAATTGCAAACAGATTTTAGAACACTAAAGGACTCAAGAGGGGACCCAAAACAGCTCCAAGACCCCAGCAAGAAAGATGTTCACAGATGAAGGGACTAAAACTGCTGACGACCTCCGCTTGGACCAGTCCAAGGGGACTGAGCTTTCCATTCCAGTGGCCCATCAATGCTGCCGCTCTGGCTTCCCCTCCCAGATGCTCTAGAGGATTAAAAAGAAAATCCTGATCAGCCACACTTGGCGATGCACACCTTAATCCCAGGTACTTAAGAGGCTGAGGCAGGAGAGAATTTGCTGAGGCAAATTCAAGGTCATCCTGGGCAACTTAGCAAGACCCTGTTTCAAATTTTTAAAAAAAAAAAAAAATTTTTTTTAAGAGGCTGTGGATGTAGCTCAGTGTTAAGGGTGCCCCAGGGTTAAGTCCCCATTACCACCAAAATGAAAAAATGTTTTAAATTCAGATCATACTGAGACATCTGAGAACTGAGCCCAGTGAGTTGTCAGGGCTGGTTCTCAACATAAACTGAAATAATAGCAAGGATTTAATAACAAAGCTAATAACTTACTCATTACTACAATCGGTTGTAGCCTAACTCACCACACTTCCATCAGTATATCTTGCTGGGTCTGACTAGTTTCACAATTAGATATCCATGGGATGTATTAGACACACACACACACACACACACACACACACACACACACACACACAAGGTTTGGTGAGGTGTTGATACAGCTGTAAACATTAACAAGAAAGCTTATGGAATTGTCCCTGGAAGTTATTTTTTTTTAATAGGCCATATTTTTGGAATGGCAGATTCCTTGAAGGCTGGAGGGAGGGCCACAGGATCCTTCATGGTTCCTTTATTCTCTGGGAATTTATGCAGGGCATGGGCTGTAAGAAAATGTAATAAGCTTCCCCTCTGCTTTCTACAGCCTTTTCATTAGGTTTTCATGGAGACCAGATGAGATAGGAGCCCTGTGTGGGGACATGTATGTTTTTATTCCTAGGCCAGTGCTGGAAATAACAGGGAGTTGTAAGCAAGAAAAAGCACTCAAATGGCACTGCTAAGTGTGAAAAAACTTAAGAGTAGGTGAAATTTGTAAAGTCTCAATGACATTTCAGGAATTATCTTCAAAGAGAGCTACCAAGTGTCTACAGTAGAAAATGCAGAACAAATACTTCAGAGAGCAATGATGTGGAGAGGAATATATCTGAAAAAAAATACACATCTTTCCTTGTAGATATCTGCCCCTTCATAGCAACCACCACAACTACAACAAATTCCTAAAGCACAATGAAAAGTAAAAGCCAAACAGGTTTTTCATCTTTCAACCATGACAAATCCTACCACTAAACCACATCAGGGTACATTCAAACGACAGTCTGAAAGATGTACTTAAATCCTCAGCACTCAAGCCATACCATCAGACATTGAACATAGAGGAGACAAAGGACACACTGACTCCAATCCAGAACAGGGTACTCTGCTGTGTTACCGGGAGGACTAATTCTTAGCCAAAGGGCCAAAGAGCAGCTTGTTCAGGCAAGAAAAAAGTCCAGAAAAATGGCAAAATCTTGTGTTGTACTTGACCCTCTTTAGGTAAAAGCTCATTCCCAGATGGTCTTTCTAGCCATACTCTCTCCCCAGAGCAGAGATCCTTTTGGACTTGCTGGATGAAAAAATTCCTATAGGGGGCTTTGAAAAATAAGGATGTCCAGGCCCCACATTGGAGCAATGAGATCAGGGGGAAAGGGTTGGCTTTTAAAGTTTGCTGCATGCTTTTCTGTGCAGCCAGGTTTGAGAACCAATGCCCAAGATGGTCCCAGTCTTGTCATAAGTGCTGCTTATTCACACCAACGACTCCCCTATTTCTGTTCTGAGCTCCAGGTTTGCATTTCCCACTACCTACTGGCCTGTGGGATGTCCCCAAGGTGTTCTAAACGCAGTATATGCAAGGTATGATTCTTGTCTCTCTCCAAAATACCCTATCCCTCCTCAGCAATCATACATGTCACTAAACAGTGCTGGCCACATAGTGTTTTAAAGCCAAAAACATATTTTTGTTCCTTTTTTTAAATTTTCTTCTTTCTCATCCTTCGCATGCCATCCATTAGCAAGTCTTGTCATTTCTATTTTGACACTATTTCAAATCTACTCAGTTCTCTCCCTTCCTACTGGCATAAACCTAGCCCAAGATCATAATATCTCCCTCAGGCCACCTGACCTTGTCTCCTTTGTCATCCCTAGGACCATATTCCTGAAATCCTCCAGGTTCAGAGGCCTGGCCTGCCTAGCATAAATAAAGCCAGTCCCCACCCTCTCAAGCACAGCCTGTCTCCTCCATGGCAGTTGCCACTGTCTGTAATTATCGTGTGTATTTATCTGTCTGTTCTGCGAGACTGTAAATCCCATGAGAACGTGCACTCTCTTGGGCACAGCTGTATTCTCACAATCTACCTCATTGCCTGCCCTACAGCAGGTGCTCAATAAGGACTTCTGCTATAAAGGAATGAATGTTCTCCTCTTTTGGATAAATACCTCGATTGGAAGGATATCATATTACCATACCACCCTCTCTCCCCCAAAAATATGCTCAGCTTTTTCTTATTTGGTGATCTAGCAAAGCCAGTGGGTAAAACCTTTCTGAGAGCCAGGTCCTTCCTGGGAAATTGTACCGAAGGGCATTCATTGGAATGAAAGCATGTTGCTTTCTGAGACACTCCATCTTCTTCGCTATAATTCTTAGGTCCTGTTGAAAGTCAAAGTAGAGAGACGAGAAGGATAACAGACATCATTTAGATTCTGAGTTTTAGAGCTTCTTTTGTGGATGAGGACCCTGCATCCCAGTCCGTGGTAGGACTCAGGTTTTCTGCGAGTGGCCTCTCTCCCTCTGTCACACAGCTTGTTTCAGAAAAAGCACAGCAAAAGTCATTTGGGGAAATCGTGGTAAAAATGAATATTAAATAGAAAAGGGGGGAAAAAAAGGCTTCGAACAAGATTTCTTTTAAAATGTTGGGTGAGTTTGAGTGAACATAACTTCTGTTGCTGTAAATTCAGGGGCACAAGTAGAGAGTGGGACCAAAAGGTCACAGCATTCACACATCTTTAAAGCAAAGACGCATGAGGCGCTGTGACATCACTCTCTTGCTGACCGTGCGTGTGAGGCCCTGCCAGAGCTGTGGCCGCCTGTCTCCGGACGTGTGCACC